GCTGTGGCATTCGATGTGGCATTTGCAACATCTGCAGCCGTCGCAGCGTTTGTGGCATTTGCCGTGGCGTTCATCACGCTTGTGATGTTCGCTGCGCCTGTGCTGGCTGTATAGTTGAGGTTGGCCGCAGTCGTGAAGTTAGTGGAGTTTGGTGCCGCCTCAAAGGCGCAACACAATCAAATTCCTTCTGAGCACGCCAAGCCTGTCAAGGCCCTGGCAAAGGTGGCACTGCCTGCCCCAGAAGCATTGCTGCCATTGATGCCATTGCTGGCATTGCCCGGCACTTGCCATTTCATGGGCCATATCTAACACAAAAAGCTGAGACCGACAAAAGCAGTCAAGCGCCAAGCCTTGCGGGGCTTGCCATGCCACAGACCTCGGCGAAAGCACAGCTGCGCACGACTGGCCAGTCACATCTCTTCTTGGGCTTCCACGAAGCGTTGGGCATTGCCTTGGTGCAGGTCTCACAGCTGTGGCCCATTCAGAGGACCATGCTCTTGAGCCACCCTTCAGGCGGCGGCCAATCTGGTGTCGTTGGAAACGTTCATTGCTGCTCTCTCGCCTTAGCATGGAAACAAAACGGCGACCAGTCCACGCAAGCCTTGCTGCGCTATGTTGACAGGCACGCTGCCGAACGTGAGCCCCGACAACCATACATGGATGGTGCAAAGCATTAAAGGGAGCTCGCGGAAGGTCACGCACTTCACCCCGGACCACGCTTGGCTTCAAGGAAGCGAATACAATTGAATACAAGGGCATTTCAGTGCTGGGTTTCAGAAAAGGCCTCCAATGTCATGTGGTCCACAACGGCGCTTGAAAGGGCGACCAGGGGCGCGACTACGCCCGGGCTCAAAAGCTTACGAACCCAACGCAGTGTCCAAAGCAGTCCGTGGGTGTCCCATACGATCAATTACGCTGTGTTCAATCAGTCCATCATTTTTGCACCTCTCCTCTGGCTCTTGCCTCTTTTTCTTGCACAAATGCTGGCCATACACTCATTGATTGTCCAACAACATTGGATTTCACCAGCGCAACTGAAACCAATGGATGAATCGAATCCTGTAGCTGTCGGACTGAGGAGGGGGGGTCCATATTTACAAATCGAGGCTTTTGAGCTGACAGCACCCCTGGTGCCCCTCCAAAGAAAGCGTTGCAAATACAAGCAAGAACAGGAACTCAAGGTAGCCAGCCAAGGGCCACCTTTCCTGACAAGCACACTGGGCCGCCCCACCGTTGGCGGTCGTATTTGGCAGCACCCCGAAAGGCCTCAGTCTGCTATCGCCACCACCAACTTAACACTGGTGCACGGCACTTGAGCCTAACGGTGTGCCACTGCTGGGAATCAGGCAGTAGTGGGTCCCACGTCTTGTTCGGCGCAGCATTCGTTGCGTTCGTGGCATTTGTGGCGTTTGTGCCATTCGTCGTGGAATTTGCTGTGGCATTCGCTGTGGCATTTGCAACATCTGCAGCCGTCGCAGCGTTTGTGGCATTTGCAGTGGCGTTCATCACGCTTGTGATGTTCGCTGCGCCTGCGCTGGCTGTATAGTTGAGGTTGGCCGCAGTCGTGAAGTTAGTGGAGTTTGGTGCCGCCTCAAAGGCGCAACACAATCAAATTCCTTCTGAGCACGCCAAGCCTGTCAAGGCCCTGGCAAAGGTGGCACTGCCTGCCCCAGAAGCATTGCTGCCATTGATGCCATTGCTGGCATTGCTGGCATTGCCTGGCACTTGCCATTTCATGGGCCATATCTAACACAAAAAGCTGAGACCGACAAAAGCAGTCAAGCGCCAAGCCTTGCGGGGCTTGCCATGCCACAGACCTCGGCGAAAGCACAGCTGCGCACGACTGGCCAGTCACATCTCTTCTTGGGCTTCCACGAAGCGTTGGGCATTGCCTTGGTGCAGGTCTCACAGCTGTGGCCCATTCAGAGGACCATGCTCTTGAGCCATCCCTTCAGGCGGCGGCCAATCTGGTGTCGTTGGAAACGTTCATTGCTGCTCTCTCGCCTTAGCATGGAAACAAAACGGCGACCAGTCCACGCAAGCCTTGCTGCGCTATGTTGACAGGCACGCTGCCGAACGTGAGCCCCGACAACCATACATGGATGGTGCAAAGCATTAAAGGGAGCTCGCGGAAGGTCACGCACTTCACCCCGGACCACGCTTGGCTTCAAGGAAGCGAATACAATTGAATACAAGGGCATTTCAGTGCTGGGTTTCAGAAAAGGCCTCCAATGTCATGTGGTCCACAACGGCGCTTGAAAGGGCGACCAGGGGCGCGACTACGCCCGGGCTCAAAAGCTTACGAACCCAACGCAGTGTCCAAAGCAGTCCGTGGGTGTCCCATACGATCAATTACGCTGTGTTCAATCAGTCCATCATTTTTGCACCTCTCCTCTGGCTCTTGCCTCTTTTTCTTGCACAAATGCTGGCCATACACTCATTGATTGTCCAACAACATTGGATTTCACCAGCGCAGCTGAAACCAATGGATGAATCGAATCCTGTAGCTGTCGGACTGAGGAGGGGGGGTCCATATTTACAAATCGAGGCTTTTGAGCTGACAGCACCCCTGGTGCCCCTCCAAAGAAAGCGTTGCAAATGCAAGCAAGAACAGGAACTCAAGGTAGCCAGCCAAGGGCCACCTTTCCTGACAAGCACACTGGGCCGCCCCACCGTTGGCGGTCGTATTTGGCAGCACCCCGAAAGGCCTCAGTCTGCTATCGCCACCACCAACTTAACACTGGTGCACGGCACTTGAGCCTAACGGTGTGCCACTGCTGGGAATCAGGCAGTAGTGGGTCCCACGTCTTGTTCGGCGCAGCATTCGTTGCGTTCGTGGCATTTGTGGCGTTTGTGCCATTCGTCGTGGAATTTGCTGTGGCATTCGCTGTGGCATTTGCAACATCTGCAGCCGTCGCAGCGTTTGTGGCATTTGCAGTGGCGTTCATCACGCTTGTGATGTTCGCTGCGCCTGCGCTGGCTGTATAGTTGAGGTTGGCCGCAGTCGTGAAGTTAGTGGAGTTTGGTGCCGCCTCAAAGGCGCAACACAATCAAATTCCTTCTGAGCACGCCAAACCTGTCAAGGCCCTGGCAAAGCTGGCACTGCCTGCCCCAGAAGCATTGCTGCCATTGATGCCATTGCTGGCATTGCTGGCATTGCCTGGCACTTGCCATTTCACGGGCCATATCTAACACAAAAAGCTGAGACCGACAAAAGCAGTCAAGCGCCAAGCCTTGCGGGGCTTGCCATGCCACAGACCTCGGCGAAAGCACAGCTGCGCACGACTGGCCAGTCACATCTCTTCTTGGGCTTCCACGAAGCGTTGGGCATTGCCTTGGTGCAGGTCTCACAGCTGTGGCCCATTCAGAGGACCATGCTCATGAGCCATCCTTTCAGGCGGCGGCCAATCTGGTGTCGATGGAAATATTAAAAGCATTGCTACCGTTGCCTGCCAACACACGCGTTGTTGCGCTTTCAAGCGTGCAAGTGCTGGCACCAAAATGACATGAAAACTCGCAGCTCACACGAGCCTTCGCTGGCAGTGGGCCTTTGGAAGCTTCCGTGCAAGGAGCAACTGTACAGGTGCTGTGCCAGATTGTTTTTTCTGTTTCATGGCGATCTCCAGTACAGGACCAAATACACAAGGGGTAGCCCTCGCTTCAGACAGGGAAACCTGAGTCCAAATCCATGACGAATCTGAGTAATTGAACTGAAAGCCAACATGTCGTTGACATGGTGCGGGGCCTGCTCTGTGGCGGGAAAACATGAAAACCTGAAGCACAAGCCAATACCGTTATCTATATATATATATAAGCATATAAACACATATATATATACATATGCATGTACATATATATATATATTAGCTACCTTTTAGCTTGTCTGGTATCTTGCAGACAGAGAAGATGTTTTCAAGAAGCAGTGGGTTGCTTGCAGGCACAGAAGACACGTTCAAGAAGTGGCGGGTTGGTTGCAAACACATGAGATGTTGTCCAGAGATTGCACATGAGGATCCTTTGTGGAAGACAGCGCTCCAGACATTGGCAGATGTTTCCGTGGTAAGCAGTGGTTTGCATTGGACGTATGCACACTAGATGACTTTATATAGCTGGCACTTTTATACCCCCGCGCCTTATCATCAGACTAGACATTGGCCATGCGCCATTTGCACAAAGCACCAGTGGCTGCCCACCAATCACTACGTATCGCCAGTACTCGTGCTGGGCAGACCGAAGCTTTTCTTTCAGCAAAGCAGACCCCACCTTGGAATGTTGGTTCAGCTTAAGTTTGCTCAGGAACCTCTAAGCGCTCCACGATTTGGGTGACACTCTTCACCTTGAAGCGCTTCTTCGTCTGCGGGCCTTTGCGGGAGACGATCTTGACGTAGGTCGGCGTCTTCCATTTCCCGGATCCGTGCCTTGACACGCTCCTTGCAGCGGGTCACCCTATCGTGCAGGACTCCCTACGCGTTCAACTTGTAGGACGTAGCGCTGTCGGTGCGCCTTTTGCCAGACATCTTGGGCTTCAGCCTTTGCAAGATAAGCGTGTCTGGCCGGCCCCGCTGAACAACGCCACACCACTGTTCCCAATCCGCAGGGCAGGCAGGATCAGCGGCCAGATCACCCAAGTCAGTCTTCTTGAACGTGGTCTTGTCGGCCTCCGCATCCACCCAGTCCTTGCCATTTCCAAAGACGATCTTCTTCTCCTTCTCCTCGACCCAGTTCTTCCTCGCGTAGCACAGCCGGTCCTCGGCGTCCTCAACGGCCTTGTGGTTGATGTCGAGCAGGCAATGGATGACAGAGTGTGGGACATGGTTCAGCAACAGTAGCAAGAAACTGTAGTGGCATGCAGCTGGAGCCGCGGGCAGCCACGAACAAAGGGTGAAGATGATATGAGTTGAAGTAAGCTTGGCATCCCTCCCTGTTGCGCCGATGCTTGGGCGCACCGCCGCGCTTCGCTGAGACAAGCTTAGACGAACCCCTTCTGACAGCGTGGGCGCCGAGCCTTTTCCCATCGATGAAGAAGCCCATCCCCCCTGGCATTTTTCTCAGCAATGTCCACTTCCAGCGGATGTGACCCTTGCAAGCACAGGGCGCGTCGTCAACGCCGCGCACGTACTTGACGGATTCCCAATCCTTACTCTTCATAGCGGCCGGCTGCTTTAGAACCGCTCTGCCTTTACCGCGCTTCGCCATGGGCAGTTTTCCTGAATTATCGCGCTGGAGTTGACAAGCTGCGTCAAAACAGACACGCGCAAATGAGACGGACGAGGAAAACTTCACAACAGCAGGTCAAGCAAAGCAAGTCTGTTTTCACACAAGACCAAGATCCTCGCATTCGGTTTATACAGCAGACCGCTGCTACATCAATCGAAGGTCGAAGCGCTCTAGACGTCAAACTAGACGAGGTCCTCATCAACGCCAGGTTAGGCATCTCCGGCGAAGCATCTGGGTCATGAAGGTCAGCATAGGTGCAAAGACACCGGCATCCAAAGCCCAGCGTTCGTGCGACTTTGCCCAATGGATGCGCGGTGGCCAAGAGGCTGCTTACGCACTCTGCCTCTTTGTCCAATTCTTCATCATACCCTGGGTGCTTGACATTCTGGCCATGCGCTTACCATAGTACTTCTTGTTGTCATCATTCAGCCAGTCTTCCTGGACGCCGTAGGTGTGGGTGTGGGTGTGGGTGTGGGTGTGGGTGTGGGAGTCGAAGCGCTGAATGCGTTGGGTAATGCGCACGCTCGGCACGTGAAGGGTGCATCACGAGGGTGAACCGAAGGAGGCAATGAGGACACCATGGAGGGATTGTTCGACATAACCTTGACAATTTGGTCCCGCTCAGCTTGGGAGACATCTGGCACGACGCAAAAGAATTCCTGCGCTTTCTTCCCCTTGCCACTCAGAGGAACGAGAGGGAGATCGGCAATGGTGAAGTTGCCGTTGACAATGTGGATGTGCTTCCACTCAGCCAGGCACTGGATGTACTTTCTTTTCACATTTGCCACGCACTGGTCCATGGTTGCCTTAGGAAAAAGGCATGCTACAGCAAAGGCTTGAACACTTTCACAACAAGCTACAGCAAAGGCTTTAATTCTTTCACGACTCATGAGCGGCACATGTGCCAAGGCCTCGTATTAAGACACAAAGCACGAGCTTCACACCTACACATGCAGCCAGAGGCTCCTTATTGCCTCCTGGCAAGCTCTCTTTGGAGCTGCTCGTTGTCCATCTTCAGTCGCTTGCTCAATTGCCTGCGTCTGGGCCACTGAGTCTCTAGAATCTCGATGTAGTCCCGCATCTTCTCGAATTCGTTCTCATCCTTCTCCGAGGATGTGGAAGATGACGAAGAGGAAGAGCCCGATGTGGACAAAGACTGTTGCGGGGCATCTTCATGATGTGAGGCTTCAGCTGAGTCATCTTCATGATGTTTTTTAGCAAGGGCCTCCTCATGACATGAACCTGCAGCTGGTGCATCCCGTATGGCAAGCTGTTGCACTCGCCCTTACCCAGTTTTGGGGGTGAGTAGCCATGAAGTGAGCGCAGCCTGCCCGGCTTGAGTCCATCCACCTTGCACACCTTGCGGCTGGATGCCCATCCTGGTCTGGATGGCGTATTTTGCGCCAGCTCTTGGGGTTGCACTTGGCGACGACTCGCACAGGCAGCCACCGTGCCTTCCCAGATAGACTTGGACATGTCCTTGGCGTTTGGAGGGCTCGTTGTGAAAACAGTTGTTGCTGCCGTGCTGGATACAAATGCATTTGTTGGCAACCTCATACGCAAGCACACTTCATCCTGGCAAACCTGGATCGACGCGTTCGTGTTGAAGATAAGGTTTGGGGCCATAAGTGACAGATGGCAATCACTAGAGAAAGTAGACAAGAGGCAGAGCTATAGAGCGAGAATCCTGGAGCCAGGAAAAACCAAATGTACAAACAAAAAAGTTGCGCAACATGTTGCGCAACATTTCTTTGGGCGCGCTGGCTACAAAGTCTCTTGAGAAGTTGTCACCTCACCCCTTGGGGAAGGGGAGTCTTTTTGTTTTGGTGAGGGGGGGGGGAAGGTCTTGGAGTGTTGGGGGCGGGGGGGGGGGGGGCAGGTCTTGGAGTGTTGGAGTGTGGTGTGAACTTGCGGACTTGCCCCAAGACTTGCCAGCCAACCCCCTCCCCTCCAGCAAGACTCAAGACTTTGCTAACCAACCCCCCCCCTCCCTCCCCCCCCTCCACCACTCAAGGCTTGGTCAGTGCATCCATCCAAACAGCCAAAGAATGTTGCGCAACATGTTGTTGCGCAACATGTTGCCAACATGTTGCGCAGCATTTTGTCTGACAGGTTGTGTAACATGTTGCAACCTCAAACTCACAAGGTGGAATCCATATCAAATCATGACCCCTGCAATGCCAAAAGACACTTATCAACTCATGAACCCCGTATGCATCTCAACATCCTGAACTAAAGCAAAATGCAAACCTGCCACATTGAATGCATCATGCGGCACACTGACAAGATCACATCCATGTGCAAAAGGAAATGCAAAATGACATGCTCGAGGAGACCCTCATTTTAGTGAAAAACAATGGACATGTACAGTGTTTTGTGGATAAGGTAGTTGTTTTTTTGGGGGGGGGCTACCATATATATATATATATATAGGGTCAAGGGTTCGCAAGTCCCCCCTCCCCCCCAAGGTTCCCAGTCCCCCCCCCTCCCCCCTGAGGTGTGGTTTAGGGTTGGTTTATGTTTGGTCTCAGACCACCCCTCCCCCCCCCCTCCCTGTAGTGGGGTTGCGCTGGTTTAGGCTTGGTTTAGGGTTGATCTAGGACCACGCCCACCTCCCCAACCCTGTTGTGGGGTGGTTTAGGGTTGGTCTACAGTGCGTTTAGTGTTGGTTTAGAATATGTGTTTAGGGTTGGTTTAAGGTTGGTTTATGGTTGGCTTAGAGTGTATTTCGTGCTGGTTTAGTGTGTATTTGGTGTTGGTTTAGGATGTGTGTGTTTTTATCCTTGGTGCAGGGGTGGTTTAGGTTAGTTCAGGGGTGGTTAGTGTTTGTTGGCTTAAGATGTGCTTAGCAGTTGGTTTAATCTAAGGTTGGCTTACGGTTGGTGTAGGGTTGATTAAGTTGGTTCAGGCTTGTTTTAGTGCTTCAGAACGTGTCAAGTGCTGATTCATGATGTGTGTTTCGAGCTAGTTTAGGGTTGGTTTAGGGTCAGGGTTAGTTTAGGGTTAGTTTAGCGTTAGTTTGGGCGCAGGTCGTGTCAGGGTGTGAGTTCAGGGGGTGAAGGGTGGGGACCGCAGCAGCAGAGCTTTTCCATGGGGTCGGGCTTGGGCGCGGGGGGGGGGGGGGCATACCGTTTGGGGCGGGGGGGGGGGGGGGGGGTGAACCGACCATGTTATATATATATATATATATATGTGTATATATATATATATGTATGTATGTATGTATACATATATATATATGTATATATATATGTGTATATATATATTATACATGAGTTCCTTTTAAGGACATGATCCTTGGTCCGTGACCCAGCACACATCGACTGGTGTCACAATTGCTTCATTTGCTGCGATGGCCCCTAGGCCCCTGCCACGGCGTGCTGGACACTGCCTCCAGGCGCACTGATCAGGGTACACATCAATCGTCGCTGAGCGATGCACTTTACCAAATCTTGAGGTAGACGTCGTAGTGGTGGTCGTCGTTGTCGTCGTTGTGGTTGTTGTTGTTTTTCGGGTATGCCTGGTGGTGGTAAAGGTTTGAAAGGGTACCTGAAAAGCGCCAGGTCTCAAATGGGAAACGGTGCTCGTTGATGCTGTTTGTGTCGGCAATGACTTGCGCTTGGGATCTGAATCCCCAAGGGCCGCGTCCAATTCGCGCACAAATCTGCAACAGGCACGGTGTGCAGGCTCTCAACTTTGCTCTGTCCAAAGGCCCCAAAAGCTGAGGGGCAATCACAAGTGGGTGCTGCATCAATCGTCAAGCTGGGCTCACGAAGTCCTCATCTTCGTCATTCGCGGTATCGCTGCCTGGTCACCAACTTAACACCGCGCTGTGTATACTGGGATTGCAAAAAGCTTGGGCCATAACCTTCTGGGGGCTCATACCTGGCTCTGTTTTTGCCAAGTTGTCCAGCGTCTTAGAGTCTTAGCCAGGCATGCTCATCCACAAACATATCAGGGCGACGGGGGAGGCTCCTCCGTTGGAGAATCATCGTAGGATCTGGTGTGGTGCTTCCACCACAGCGCACGCTCTACCTCCTGTTGGGTGTGTAAGCAAGTCCGAGCATTCAGGGTCATTCCCCGCTTAGCTCCTCAATCGCTTTCGGTAACCTGCGAGTGGAACTTCTGGAAGCCCTCCTGAGCGACGATTGGCAAATGTTCACAGGCAAACAAATCAAAAGAGCCAATGCACTTTGACTCAGTCTGACCGAGCCAAGAATTGCCGGTGGACTGTGAACCAAGAAAAAATGCGCCTTGCCAGCAAGCCTGGCACGTCGATCTTGTCAGCGTGCCTCTGGCGCAAGTTGGCATATTAGGCCTTCATGGCACTAGCATCCTATCTGCACTACAGCACATTCCCTGGCACCTCTGCAGCCACGCATTGCTGAGAACTTGACCTTAGCGAGTGTTTCAATTCCTCAATGTGTGCAGATGAGAGGATGCCTGCATCATGTGTTATCAGTGTAAAGGCCAGCTTCTTTGTCAACTGCATGGATGTTTGTTCTCACTAGTGACTGCTCAGCAGGCAATTGCTGGAGGGCCCAGGAAAAAGTGCAGAGCCGAAAAGGCAAGTCGGAAACATGTATCACACTGCTGATAGTGGAGGTGATTTTTTCTCTTTTTTCTCTCGCTCTCTCTCGCTCTCTCTCGCTCTCTCTCTCTCTCTCTCTCTCTCTCCTCTCTTTTCTATTTCCCTCTCTCCCTCTCTGACTGGACAAGTGGTACCCCCAGCCAGTGCTTGTGCACACGGTGGGAATGACCAGGCCCCAGGCAAGCTGCAGACCGCTTCTCAGGTTCCCAGGGATGTCCTGGGTGTCTGAAGGACAGCTTGCAAAAACACAGCTCGCATCACGCCTGGGCCCATCTTCTGCAGCTCCTGGCTGCAAAACACGGCAATCCACGGCAACAAACAGGCACCCAAATGGCAACAAACAAGCATCGAGGTTGAGCCTCTGCACACATGCCTCTTGGCTCTGGCAGCACGGCCTGTCCGGATCGGAAAAGCGAGCTGAGCGCTCAGACAGAACTTGCGAGGCAGTTGATTCGTTGATTCGTTGATTCGTTGACTTTTTCTCCCATCAATCTGCATGGCCGCGAAAGGGCTCGTCGCAGAAGTGGCCTAAGGTGGTCACAGCCCAGTACATCCCTTGCACAAGCTCATGATACGTAAGGGGAGAGCATCGGGCAAACAGAGCCTGAGACCAAAGCCAAGGAAGTCGGTGATGCAGCCAATGTCAGTGGGCAGCCAGGTTGATGGTGACTGCATAAGAGCTTGTAGATCGCGGACCATCCAAGCCTGTCAGATTTCATGCTGACAGGGATGATGGCTGTTGACCATCTGCTGACCATTCTTCCAAAGTGTGGTCTAGAGGACTGATCGATTTTTAGCACTCCTTCTTCACTGTCTGCCAGTCCGGCCCCAGTATGCCGTAGAGCTCGACAACCCATCTGGGTCCACCCGGCAGAGGATGGTAGACACCTGAGATGGCAATCACAGGTGGCGGGCATGAGCTGATTCCAGCAAGACATGTTGCAAGCGGCCCCATACACCTGCAGTGTGAAAGTGCACAGTTTCATCTCCGTGCGACATCCAATCAAAGGCAGGACCCTAGACGTCTGTGTGAGAAGCTTTTGAGCTTCATCAGGTGATACGCATATAGGTCAAACTTCCTGACCGGAGCAAGCATGGCATTATCACGTGGCCATCCCCGGTTGGCCGAGAAGAGCATCACCGGAACCGACGACTCCACCCTAGGTGAAGGGATCATCGGCTTCCCCCTGTCAGGGTTCACCAACAGTGAACACCGTTTGACCCCCGCACACTCTACAAACCACTTCATGCTAAGCCCAAAGTCCAGTGTTTCGCCCAACGTGCGCCTTGCACATTCCACCCTCGGCTACATAGCCCTTTCCACAAAAGCACTTGCCAGCTTTGCAGTTGCTGTTCGGCCCTTTGCAGTAGCCGAGATAAGAACAGCTTTCGCCAGTCCGAGTACCCAGGGCAGTCGTCGGAGCTTCAGATTCTGGCTTGCCTTGGTCGTGGGAGGCAGGCAAAAGCTCTTCATGAAGGCAGCTTAAGCAAGTCTGAATCAACCAGTAAATCCGAGCTGCAGATGCCACCGAAAGCCACATACCCCTGCCGGGGCAGGATTTGCTCTGTCCAGCATGCAAGTCTGGGAAAACTACCTCATCCAACCTAGACTAAATCAGAGAAGATCCGCCGACTCCCTCCCGTTGCGGGGGAAGGTTGTTGGGAAGGTTGGTCTTTGGACTAGCTCTTGTGCTCAAGGAAAAGATGCGCAGGGACGCAGTGTCTGATGTCTTTCAGACCTCTTCTAAAATTGTACGATTCCAGACCTCGTTCGGATTGCTCCTCTGTGTACCGCGTGGTTTCTTGGACCTTCCTCCCCTTAAGATATAGGACCCAAGAATGGCTTTAGGCAGTTCTCAGTGCTGGTTTTGGCAGTTTGGGCACATACTAGCCGTGTTTTGCACCAGGGGATGGCGCTTTGGGGTTAGCTTTCAATGTTTGTGATGGTTTGGGGCCAGGTCGGGAACGTATACTAGCCGCGTTTTGCAAAGGGGATGCTGTGTTCGAGTTTGGTGCTTTTTCAGCGCAGAAAGGGGTCGGCACAGAACAGGGCAGCAGTCCTTAAGTCCAAAATTGCTGCTCTCTTTCGCGCGGAGCGGGGACAGCAGCCTATGGTGCTGACCGTTGGTTCCGCCAACCCACTCGAAAGCTGGGGGACAGGTCAGAACACCTTTTGCTTTGCTGCTTTGACCAACACAGCCCTGAAGTGTCACCACGTCCGTAAGAATGACGGTTCGTGTCTAGGAGTCTTGTGCTGGCCAGCTCAACCATGCATCAGGCCCAACAAAACAAAGTCCCAGGCCTCCTTGCAAATGCACTTGAAGTGGTGGCAAATAGTTGGCCCTCTGCTCTGGTGGCAGTGAAAGACGCTACAGGTCCTTGCCAGCGCCACAAGAAGCATCTAAACTAGCATTGTGAGCTGGTTTCTCGGAAGAGGAAATTGGTGAGTGCTAGGAAGTCGTAAAAGGTCATAGTAAACAAATATTTCCGGAAGGAAAAAGAAAGAAAAAGAAAAGTAAATGTAACCGCGGCAAAAACAATGGTAAGCAACATGTATAATGTAGAAATCCTATCGAAATCGCAAACGTGAATCGTAAAAGCAACGTACTGAAACCACACAAAACATCACAAAAACTCCAGGTAGGCTGACAGGTCACAAAACTAGCAATATGCTTGCCAACCTTTGTGCAACAAAGCAGCCCGCCCGTGTTGCGGCTGAAATGCGAGGGATCTCCCCAAGCTGTTGGCTCACCGTGGTGCTCTTCCTTCCTGCAGAGTTGATCCAGTTGATTGCTGTCTAGCAACGCGTGCAAACAAGGGTCCTTTCAGCCTGGCCCGCGTTCATCTGAAGCCTGGTAAGCAGCGTCATGTGATTGTCTGTGGATCCCAGTTCCCACTTAGTCTATACTACAGCAAAGCAGCAATTCCAGGCAGTTGCGATCCGCCTGATACCAAGACTTCAAGTATATTTTGCAAGCCAACTTGTCAAGACTCGGGCATGGTTTGAGCAATCATCGGCATCCAGCGCAGTCTGAAGTGCTTCCTGCGCACGTTCACAACAATTACGGCGGGCATGCTTAATTGGCACTCCTGGCAGTGACTTAATGTCAATGGCACCAAGCACAGGGTCCGCCACCTAGGGCACATTACGAAGCACAAACATAACATATCATGGCGCAATATTTACGCACTTGATGCGTGCAGCTGAGAAACCACAACCGCATATTCCGCGCCAGACTACCCGAGCAAGTTGCTACACAACTTGAGCCCAAGGACAACACATTCACTGCTTGGTTGCACCACCTCCCTGGCAGCATACACTGTGTCCAAACGATCACGGAAGAGGACTAGCAGTCTTCCAAAGCCCCCCAGTCAGCTTCTATGATTGTTGAGAGAGTAAATGCCTTTGAATATCCCTTCGGATGATATGGAGGCACCATCTGCTGCGTTGAAGCCTTCTGCGTACTTGATGCCATTTATGGCCTGATGCAGCTGACAGGCGTCGCAGGCTTGACACAAGCAGAACTTGCAACTCTCACTGCTCGCAAGCTCTGAGTGAAACTGAGTCAAGATCCCAGTAGGCAAAGTCTACATCTCTAGAGGACAAATAGCCTGGGCACATGAGTTCGTTGCAAAATCTACTGCCCTGATGTGCTCGACTTCGGTTCTTTCTCATCAGTTTACACATCTCTGCGCTCAGTGTTGGAAACACCCCATGAAGCATGAAGCAAACTCAAAAGCTCGTGCTCTAACGTACCATCATTGGTTTGTTGTGCTTCCACCAAAAATGTTAGAGCACGATACCATGCCGAGCAGCGCATGAACATAAGCCAGAATTTGCCATGGTTCCTGAGTTGTGGCGCTCTGCCCACAATCAAACGTGATCACCGTACAGCACAATGACAGCGCAGCCATGCGGCAAATAGCCAAATTCGCCCATCCAAATCGGCGCTGTGAAAGGCTGACCTTCTTCGAGTGCAAAGCCCCACTGCTTGTCCAACCACCTGTTCAAACGCAGCGAAGCTTGGTCTGCTGTGATACTCTCGTGCCTCTCGTAGAACCAATAGGAATCCTGAAGATTTGAGTTTCAAGTTTCAAGTTGGACAGTTTGCTACAAATACTGCAGACAAGTGTCTGCGGCAATCCCAGCCTGACGGGGCATTGGGAAACCCCACTCACCTGTCCTTGATGCACTACTCGAACCCCCAAATGAGATTGTGAAAGCAACCCTCAAAGTTGATAAATCCAACAGCTTCCATCATAGAAGTGCAGGCCAAGGCACCAATAGGGTCATTGCGCAGATCACAAGCAAGACGACAGAAGGTAGAAAGCATTGTAGTCTCATCATTAAGCCTGTGCAGAAGAAAGCACACACAAAAAACAAACACAGTAGCAAATGTACATTGTGCCTCTGTTCCAAGCTGGTATCATAGTCCTTCCTTGTCCGGTTGAACGACAAATGTCAGTCTCCTGCCATCAGTGGAAAACTTACGGGCCTGTACAGTTGCAAAACAAACAGAGTTTGATTTACCATGATCTTTCTTCCAGAATAACATTTTGATTGGTCAGGGACGGAGCGGGGTTGGATTGGTTTCCTGTGGACGTGCATGGGTGAGGCTGCAGCAAGGGCGAGAGGATTCGGCTGCAGATTGATTCAGGGTACGCTTGAGCTTTGGCTTAGGGTTGGTTTAGGGCGTTTAGGATAGGGTCACGGTCTCCTCATCACAGCTATCTTCGCTTCGCATCACATACCTTTCCTCGGTCCATGCAGCGTTTGTGTGTAAGTGCCTAGGATTTGCAAGGGGAAACTAACGCCCCAACTAAATGCATGAATTAGGTGGTCACTGACACTCAACGCAAGGCAAGCAAGTAATCAAAACCGGCGGAAACAAGCAAACGGAACCTTAAAGAATTGCTGTGACTCAGTGACACTGTTGAAGATATGCAGCATGATTGTATTCACCGCTCACAACAATCTCAGCTTCTGCGGCAACGGTTTGTTCGGAAACCAAACGGTCTTCTCGCAAACTAAGCAGTCCGATTCGAAAACTGAAAGGCCTTCTTCGGAAACTAAAACCGTCAGATTCCTCAACTACCAAGGCCTGATCCAGAAACGTAAACGATATTCTTCGGAAACTACCAAGGCCGGCCCGAAGCATATCATCCGCCCCGCACCCCCATGGCCCGAATCGCAACATCCCCGCCAGCCCCCCCCCCCCCAGCCACACAAAAGCACCAGGTTCGTTGCAGATGTAGCCCGGAGCTTAACCTCCCTGCCATCATTTATTGCGCTGCGTTGCAGTTCCCACACAGTTGCCCCAAAAGCACTTGTTGTGTGGCAGTTGTGGCCCGGAGCTTCTTCCGTGCCCCCCCCCCCTCGCCCCAAAAGAAGCTTTACATCACCCCATCCATCTCTCTCGCTCCCTCTCTCTCTCTCTCTCTCTCTCTTCTGCGAGGGTACCTGTGACAAACGCTGGTGTCCGCATCAGTCGCGATCAGTTTACATGAGAGCGTCATATGATAACGTTTGTGGCAGAACGGCAAATTCAAAGGTTTTCTTCGAATCTTGGAGGTACCATCAACGCTGCCAAGCAGCTACTTGCAGATCCGCCACACCTGAGCTGCGGAAAGAAATATTGCGCTGAGAAATTATCTGTCATGCTGATTCTAGCCAGGATGCTACCGGGCATACCAGACTGGTGCCAGGATACCGCAAGTAGAGCAAAGCTACAAAGAGATGCAATCAGCCAAAAATAGACCCACCTCACAACTTGTGTGCTGTTTTGTCCTCCACAGACTAAACTCTAGCGCTCACCAAGAATTTACAGCATCTGGACAAGCCACGGTAGAAAGTCTTGACTAGCACCCCATTTGCAGTAGATGCAGGCAGCCTCCGATGTCAAAGCTAACTGCTCAAAGGTCATTCGAGCGTGCCTTGTAGGTGACGAAGGCCACCAAGGCAAGCAACAGGCAAAAAAACATCGCCCAAGCACCTGGCTAGCCCAGGCACTCCGAGTGTTCCCAAGCCAGTTGAGGCTTTTGCCCAAAGACATGAGGAGAAGATGTCTAGGGGGAAGCGGAGCCCCGCACCTCGACAAAAAGGCGGTGGACGCATGCACGTCAGCTTGCCATTGCAGAATGTCTGTGAACGACGACAACGCCTCCTCCAGCTGCTAGTCAAAAAGTAGATAATGCCGCCCAGAACAAGACCTTGGCAGTTTCTCATCGCAGAGCTACTTGCGCTCTCGCTCACTCTCTGTCTCTCTCTCTCTCTCTCTCTCTCGCTCTCTGGAAACTCTCTCTCGCTCTCCCTGCCTCTCTCTCTCTCTCTCTGGTGCAGCTGAGCCTGTGACCAGAAAAGACTGCACCGAGTCTCAGAGTGCCGAATGAGATGCCCAGATCCCGCGGGATCAAGTTCCAGAACTGGTACTCCTCGGGCCAGCTGGACATGGAGAAGCTTGCTGATGTCGGTCATGAGAATCTAAGTTCAAGCTGGCTTCAATGTAGTTGTGTGTCTGGTAAGTCACACGGTTGGGAAGATCCAGGGAGATTGGGTGGTCACCTCGAGTCAGAGGTGCTTGCACCTCTACCAAGTCCACATCAGGCTCGGGCGCATTGGCCGCAGCTCCATACCAAAGCACAGTGCCATCACGACCTTGGGACGCCGGGCATGTAACGTTGCAGACTTGGCGCTGACAGAGACCCAGCCCGGGTGTCGAGAAGACCTGACTCCATGGAACCTAGCACTGAGGTCCAGGCTATGAGAATGTCCTGTAGCACTGCAGCAAACATCCACCGCTGTCAACCCCGCATCAACAAGGTCCTTGTTCTCTGAAAGAACGCGATTACCAGCTCTGGTTGCTGCAGCTGCCCAGTCAGTCTTCGGATTCTCATCCTGAAGAGTCAGGACTGGCCTTGTAGGCAAGGGCTGCAAAGGCCCAAACCCCCCACGTCATCATGAAGCCGCCCCACTTCGGGTTAGAGTGCAAGTCGTGGACTTCGTTGCGCAAATCAATGCCTACCACGTAGGGATTGTCTCTGTACCTGCGCGAGAGAATGGGGAAGAATTGCGTAGCAACGCTCCGCGCCTTCTGGTTATGTTGACCAGGCTGTCTATCCAGACTTCCTCTGGGTAGCCAGGCACATACCTTGGCATAAAGCGCCAGCACCATCTGACCGCAGCATCGTTTCGCAGAAATGATTGCTCAAACGTACGTCACACAAGTGCCTAATTCGCCTCAGCCCCAAGGGGTCAAGGGCGCTCAGATCTCTTTAGCCCGCCCAGCCCCAGGCCCCAGGCGAAGGCCCACCACATGGGGGTGGGTTGGCTGGGCACTGAAGCCAGTCCCAGACACGCCATAGATGGTTGGGCCGCTAGCCTAGCCCCACGAAGTTTCCTGCGCCGGCCCATGGCATCAATTGGTTTAACACCGCCAGAACCTGTCCATTCCTGAACCGCCACTTGACCAACTCTGCTGCTTGCAATCCCACAGAGGCTGCGCGCTCGGTTGGGCCGAGCGCGAAACACGTGCAGTTTTCAATTTAACACTCATGCCCAGAAGGAAAAAAAACATCATGCTCTTAAGGGCCATGAGGACGTGAGGTCTACAAACCCTGTGAAAATGCTGCCCCTGCCACGACATCTGTGCTTGACCTTGCGAAAATGCTGCCCCTGCCACGAAATATGTACCTGACCTTGCGAAAATGCTGCCCCTGCCACGAAATCGGCATGCGCCGCCTTGCGTGCCAATGGGATTTGCGATGCGTCCGTGCAGAAAAAAGAAAATGCCGCGCTTGCCACGAAATCTGTACTTGACCTTGTGAAAGTGCTGCGCCTGCCACGAAATCTTTGCCAAAATGCTGCGCCTGCCACGAAATTCAAACCCTGCAAAACCTACGTGTTGCTGTTGCAGTGGGCCCCGGTCCGAGACCGTTCCGAACCCGCTCCAAGACCGTCGTCGGACAGGCGTCGCGAGCGGGGTAGCTTTCAGCCAGCACATGACTGCGCAAGCGGCATACTCATCTCCTTTGACTGGCTGGTTAGTAGGCATGCGTCTGTGGAAATCGTGTTTGCTGGTTAATTTGCTCAGGCCAAACGTCACAGCGCAGCCTGATTTGCAGCAGCAACACCCTGTTTTAACCGAGTCTTCGATAGGCAGGCAGCGCAGCAAACCCAGTCACCGGTGGGTCAGCTTTTCTGCCGGTGGTCCAGGAGGAGCTTGGTCCGGACTGAGAGCCAAGTCCGGACTAGGAGCAGCTCCAAGAGCCAGTGAAGTACAAGTGAGTGAGCTGGTCAGCACAAAGAAGACTGAACCTTCGGTATAATGAAAGACACCAGCCCAGGATTTTTAAGCAGCGATGAAGAAATAGAACTCAAGGAATCAGCGATCCGATCCATTGAAGGAGTGGCTGAACACTGGACCCCCGCAAGAGCCAGCTTTGCAACGACTTTGTTGCCCCTTTTCCTCCGTCGGACTGCAGGTTGGTCAACATAGGGCGCAGTTCTCCAGCTTTTCTGAAGGGGCCCACGCCGTGCCCTGCCAGCGCACCAGGGAAGAAAAGGAAAATTTGGACCCCAATCGAGCATGAAATCGTCCACGAACACCGTGACGCAGGAAGTCCTCCGAGGGCGGCAACACGACTCCAACAATCATGCATTTCCAATCTTGCGGCCGGACTTTGATGCGACGGTGAGGCTTGCTGACTTCCGACTTGAAGAGGGTGAAGTTGGCCCCTCGCCCGCAACAGATCATGAAGAGTGGGCGAGGCGAACTTCTTGTTGATGTCGAGGCGGGTGTTGTCGGCATCGAAGATGGTCCGGACTTTGTCCGATTCCTGAATGCCCGCCATGGCCCCCACGCAGAGTTCTCCGGACTGCAGCCACAGACCTTGGCCGTCTCTTCTTTCGAGAAGGGCGCGGGGACCATACCCAAGCCCCGCTCTTCCAGGAAGGCGCGCTCGACGTCATCCTCAAACAGGGCGGCGCTCGAATAGTTGCCAGCTCTGCGCGCGGTCAATGGCTCCAGCTCCTGGGGTAGATGACCCAACTCAGCCTCCTCCTGGCCCCAGGTTCGTCCTGACTCTGGCCCCCCTCTGCCTTGTGCGCGGAGACGGTGTGGTTTCCTCACTCCTCTGCCATGGACTCCATATCAACTTCCACAGGGTCCAGGTCAGAAGTTGGAACAGCTTCCTGCGCAGCTTCGTGAGCTGCTTCCATTCGTGCATCACGCCGTCCATTGAGGCGTCCGTGGCATGTTCCATCCTAATCCGGAAAACACACAACCGAAACCGAGGTAAGTAAACAAGGTTCAAGCAAGTCACTTGAGCCAAACTGGCCCCGAGGAGAAACCATCCGAGTCAAGTCCCCGTGAGAGTCAAGCTTGGCAGCCTGCAAACAGTACTTAGCCCAATGACATCCTAGTTGAACCATACAAGTATGGCCAACTTAAAAATGGTGTTCGTCTTCAATTATTGTTGGAAGCACGCGCGGCAGGGAAAAGCATCATGCTGAGATTTCTGCAGTTGCCCTTCACTCTTGCAGCAAAGATGCCAGAGCCCTTCATCCTGCGACCAGTGGCAACAGTATCCTGCCCTGGACACATGCCTCAGAGAATCGCTCTTGCCTTATTTGGTGTCACGTGACTCAGAGGCGCAAAGTCAACCGGATTCCATTGCCGAACAACATTGAAAGCAATAAGTGTGTGTGTGTGTGTTCCTCTTGCGCAGGGTGCTCTTCCCTCAAAGCCAAGTCACTGATCGATAATGACCTTGGGTTGCCCTGTGCACCAACTGTGTTGCAAAAATATGTTGATCACTGGAGCACAATACAGCGAAAGAAATACCCAGGAGGTATGTGTGTCCAAGCCACCATAATGCCAGCATTGGACAAAGCTTCAATTCCAGCATCAAAACCATCAAGGAAGCGCTTGCCTGTCAAAAGCCTCAGGCGCAGCTGTGATGCTGCGACTGGCATCTTCATCAAGAGCAAAAGCAAAGTCCAGCCTATTTGCCAGGATGAATTGATCTTGAAGAAGCGGATTCCTGGAATCGGCTCCCCGGGTCAGCCAGCAAACTCAATAGTCAGCTGGCCTGACATGTGCTTCCAAGCTGTATGCGACTCTGGCACAGTTGAAGCCAAGCTGGACAATTCGCTCAACCTGGGACAATTTGGGTCAGGGTTGGTCTCAGATGGGAGTGTGGTCTGCCTAGGGGTTCCTGAAGAGTGGTGTTCAGAGCTGGTCAAGGTTTGGCTCAGCAGGCAATAGGATCAGGCCAACAAAGGCAGTAAGGGGCTTGGAGGAGTGGCAAATGTAAAGTGACAGCCAATGGCGACAACAATAGTGCAAAAAGACAAAACCCAAAGCCAAGAAGTCGGGAAGCAAAGTTGCTCACACTGCTCACACAAGAGTGAACCAATGGCACGTGGCACACGTGTTGCTCGTGAGCCCTGAAAGACTTGCTTAGAATGCCCCACACGCCTTGCGGCCAGGATGTTTACTATACTTGTGGCACCTAGCCATACAAGTGAGTGGCTTCACAAGCAGAATAAAAAAATAGAAACCTCAGCACACAAAAAATGCGCGGTCACGTTGCAAATCGATCTCCGGACCCAAAAGCATCTGGAGCAAAATGTCTTGGATTGGCTGCAACATGTTTGTTCAAACTTCATTTTTGCATATCAGAAGGTATGCATCTTTCTTTTCGTAAGCCTTCCATGGTGGCAGCATTTGCATGGCTCCCGCTATGTCGCAAGTCTGAAACGCGGAAGTAGCAAGAGTGACTAGCTGCAGAATGGCTACAAGTATTTGCAGCGTGCCAGCATTGTGTTTTGCCGCTTCGATGTTGCCAAGTTCATTTCCGTGACGTCCAGGTTTGGCATTTTTCCACAGCTCGCCAACAACCTGCTTGTTCGTCGTACTGACCTCTTCGGTGAACACAAAACCGACAGACTGGCAAGCTCATTTCAAAACAATCGGCCACGACGTGCTGAGAAATCAGAAATCAAGACTTCTGGGGCAGTTGCAATCTCTTTTACGTTTCGCTTCTCCAGACCTCGCCAGGTAGAGGTTGGCATGCATACCATCCTTGCAAGAAGCTTGATTGAAGCGCCTCCGAAGGTAAAAGTAATTGATTCTGGGCCGTACCAATTGACACACCTTAGCGGCACAGACAAATTCACTCTCAAACATGGAGCGCATGCTCGTATGCAGCCTGGTAACGCCCATTTTACTCTCTCTCCGAGCTGATCTACTATGAAGCGCCTCAATGATCACTTTGGGCACATCTGAGCAATCTGCAATCAATGCCGAGGTCAGCACCCTTCAACTCGAAGTGGAAGCCGCTCTCGAGACACCAAGGGCGCACGCGTTCCAGAGGCCAAGATCCACCTGTCTGCACACACGCCCTTTCCCCTTTGATTGCATCACGTGGAACGAGTGCAGAACAATTCAGGCACTTAGTCTCCCGCAACAGGCAGCATGAGGCAACATGGCACCAGGGCCTTGCCTGGCTTATCCCTAACATCCTGGCAGCATCAAGGGTACAGCACAAAGGATCTCGATAACTGCTTCTTTGCAAGGTCTGAGCACATCTGACAAAAAGGAAGCTCTTTTGAGGATCAGCAGCGTTAAAATGAATTTCTGAGCCAAAATTCCTGCGCTATGACATGGAAATTAGGACGAGGGCCTCAATGCAAGCTGAGAGTGCCTATCAAGCATCTGTTCCGCTCGGGCGCCTCACAGGCTTGCAGTACATCTGCATCTTCGAACCTCCTGTCACTTGGCGGCTATGTCGGCTGCGAAAACGGACATGACTGAAAAGAAGCTACACGTGCCATCGCTTGTCCTCCTGTTCCATGTCTTTGCTAAGTAGATGTCAATCAAACGTGGTTGACGAATCCAACAACTTCTCTGCGCATGAATTTGCTGGCAGCTCATCTGGGGTAGCAGGCAAGTCAGTGCAGCTTGTGAACAGGCGCGCAAGCAGCAAGCAGTTGAATTCTTGAGCCAAACATCAATAGTTGGTGAAAAACATGATAGAAATGCAGGGAACCAGAGGGTAGGAGCACGTTCCGACAGTCTGCAGCCAAGATGCTGCAACCGCGTAAGCAGATCGGAGCAGGAACGGATCACCTGAGACATAGGCTCTGGTCTGCAGCTTGGAATCACAGATGCCTCTTTCGAGATGGGGAAAAGGATGATCGCATTGCTTCTGACCTCAATTGACCGGACCACAGTGACAGAGAGGTCCGAGCTACCGCGCGGAATGCAAACGCCGAGGCCACGACAAAGTAGAAAAGCAAAATGTGAGCTTTTATCATAGTTCGATATCTGATATGGAAATCCTGGAGTCTGACAAGTCTGGCGCAAGCATTCCATGGAAGGCATGTCAAGGCATGTCCTGTCGGGAGCGAAGCCATGATTCTCCCGGCTTGGAGCCAAAGGCAAGAGGGAAGCGCGGTCCGTGCAAAATCTCCCAGGCAGGAACAAGGTCCAGTGCATATCATGCAATCACATCTGGACGGACCAGCAAATGCAGCTAGAACTTGCCACAGCAAAGGCGACCTTTGGAGCAAGAGTTTGTATGGGTCCCAAAACTACAAATGAAGCAAACACGATTTTGTTGATCTGCTTGGAAACTGAAGATATCAGTCATAATATGTGATGTCGGTGTGAGTCCCGATGGTTGGATGCCATCAAGAGTCCTATGCTGCAGTGTTCATGTGACTCAGGACAGCACTTTCTCTCAGCTGCAACTCGTTTTGCGGTCGTCCCTCCCTTGATGGATGGACAGCTTTGATACTGGCTATGCTCAAAAGATTGAAATAGTCAATCGGGTAGTCCTGACTGGGTGGTTTAGATGTGTTGCCAACAAGTTGCACAAAAACAAACATCCACGACACCAGAAAACAAGAGCGTGTCGATGTACTGTATGTATTTTGAGATACATACACACATATAGGGCATATGAACCAACACATGTAGGTGCAAAGCTCAGAAACCAGGCAGGAACTGCACGCGCGTGCTTCCCTTGCCGGTGCCTATGGGAGATGCTTGGAGTGATAAATCAAAGGTCTGGCAGCAAGTACTCGCTCTCTCTCTCTCTCTCCTTCTGGTGTCACTGGTGTCGTCTCAGGAATTCAGAGAGGATTTGCACAATAACCCTGGCGAAATACGATGCTATGCATGGGCTTTGCTTTTTGTTGGCAAGTATGGTAGATCGCAAGGGGCTTCTGAGTTGTGTACGAAGCAGGCTATACAACATGGTGTTCACAACCACAGGGTGCTGTGACAGTTTTTGCCTAAAGAATTCCTGGGACAGCAACTGTTCCCTCAAGAAAATTGAGTTGATAGAAGGCTGCCCCACCTCTGAACAAAGCTGAGATGGTTGAATGCAATGAATTGGTGTCTTTTCGACGAAGGGCAGCCTCATGGAGCCCTTGAGAATCTGAAAGCTGAGTGGGATGCACTTCCCTTCACTTTGATGCTGGTACAGTGTCTGCATACTGTGCTTCCACATATCCGAGGCCTCCTTGCCAGTTGCCCTTGACAAACTTTCGAAAGCCGGACCAGCCGGAAAAGCGGAACAGTGGCACCACCTCTTCCAGCGTCTTTCCCTTGGTCTCTGGCATGCAGGTGGCTGCAAAAGGGATGACCATCAGGCAAACGCATCCAAAGAATAGAAGGGTGCCCCCGGGGCCCATGGGTGAGGCGATCATCTGCGGAGTCAAGAACGCGCTGAGGACATTGGCAGGACCCCAGTTCATCGCTGTGCACAGCCCAACTGCCTTTCCACGGACACGCAGCGGCATAATTTCTGATATGTAGAGCCATGCACCGAAGCCCCAAGAAATTCCAAAGGCGAACATGTAGAAAACAATGGTCGCAATAATCACATATCCTGCGACGGCATCTATGGAATCACTTTCAGGATCATGAGCAGCCAAAGCCGTGATTCCGCCCACCATCATCGAAACGCACATGGCAGCCATGCCCCAGAGAAGCAGGACTCGTCGCCCAGCACGATCCACCAGCAAGAAGCTGCCAACTGCATTGCCCAGTGTGAAGGAGACAAAGGGTATCAGAGATGGGACAATGCCAGCAACGCCCAATGCCTTGAACAGCGTTCCACTGAAGCTGACCATTGCATTGATGCCAGTCATGATCTGGAAGAATTGTGTCAAGCATCCAATCACCACCGCATTGCGGAAATATGGAGTTGTGAACACTTCGGCCCACGTGGCTTCACCGGTTTGCTGCTCCTCGATCAGCTCTGCCTGCACCTCCTTGAGTTCTTGGGATGCAACAGCCTCATCCCCAGAGCGCAAACGAGTCAGAATTTGAAGCGCCTCGGCAGAGCGTCCCTTGCTTTCCAGAAAGCGAGGTGTCTCGCAAACAAAGCACAGGCCACCACAAACCAAGCCGCCCATGGCTACTTGCAGGCCGAGGGAGAGCCTCCATCCAACCTCGAGATCGTGAACAAAGTAGTTCAGGAGAGCTGCAGCCACGATGGCTAGACAAACATTGTTCTGGTAGATTCCCACAAGCATGCCGCGAATCTTCTCTGGTGCCACCTCTGCGATGAAAGCTGGGCCAGCCGAAGAGGTGATTCCAACGCCCACACCAGCCACAACTCGGCCAAGAATCAACATGGCGGTGTTCATCGCTGCTGCTTGCAAAGCCCCGCCTGCTGCAAAGAGCAGGGAGCCCACGAGCAAGGCAGGCCAGCGGCCATGTCTGTCCACCAAAAGGTGGCCCGCTAGAACTGCCGAAATTGCAGCTCCCAGGTTGAAACCGTTCACCGTGAAGCCTTCCCATAACGCGACAGTAGTATTTTCTTCCTCGGGCCATCCCATCATGCTGCGAAAGCTTGGCATGGTGAATACATCGTTCACCACCCCATTGTCATAGCCATGAAAGAATCCAGTGAAAGCTACAAAGGCGCATACGCCAAGTGCGTACGAGTTCGCCAAGCATCCGTTCTGCTTTTCTGGCAATTGGCCTTCCACAGCCATAGATGAGCGGGAGGAATTGAAATCCGCACCCCACCAGCTTGGGCCAAACGGTCCTGCAAGAAGTAAAGTTGCATTGCCAAGATGGACGGCTTGAGACTCACTCTGCTCAACAAAGGTTGGAAAATGGTCCATATTATGGTAGTGCTGTCTGGGCGGCCTAGATGTGCGGTCGCCAACTTTGGGAGAAGCTGCAATGTGACAAAAGCGAGTGAAGAGCAAATTGTTTAAAACAATCAAGCCCTCGCTCGCTCATGCACGCGTGCGCGTGCTCCCTCGCTCACTCAGCCAAAGTAGCGTACCCCCATCTAAGCGAAACTCACGCACCGACGATCTTGTTCAAATTCTCAGAACACTCTTCCGACTCATTGCCAAATCGGGACAGCACCCCGCTTGATCTTCACATTGCCATAGCACCCGACTTTTGCCATGCCGCGCGTTCAAGCGGCTCAAGCTCAGCGCACGCACAGCGAACTTGCTGCGCTTCGGCAGCCCAGCTGTGCTGCGGCTCGCTCAAGTTCCAAAGTCTGCACGTACTTGCCCTGGAGCATCTTCTTTCGCGGCGAAGGGTTGCGTCCTATGCCTCACTCGCGTATTGAAACACATCCGCGCCAAAAGAAGCTGCACCCTGTAGTTCTCTGATTTCCAACGAGCGCTGCAAGGTCAGCTGCGCAGGAGGCAGCTTCCCCGCCACGCCCACGTCAACACGCGACGGGGAAGAGAAAAGGGCGGGCGCTATAGGAGGCTCACGGGTAAGCCAATGCGCCGGCGCTGCAGAGAATCATTGGGCGCAGCGCCAGACTGTTCCTCAGGGCCTGCTTCCCCGCCTAGGTTCGATGTGCCGGGGCGGCGTTTGCAACTCGCAGTGTGAGACCTTTAATGGGGCACAGCTGCGCCAACGTCTGGCAACTCTTGATGGCGGGAGTGTCACGCAATGCACTGTGCCTTATTCCTGCAGCTTGTTCGAGAAAGTGTCAAGTTGGCAACCAGTCGCCGGGAATGCGTGCCTGCACATGTACTTGCCGCGATCTTCGTCTGCCAACACTGACTTGGCAACTGGGCAAACGCAAAGCTTGGCACTGAAGTGTCATCGGAGCAGGCGTGAGTAAACAGCCCACTGAGCGCGTCTAACGCAGGGTGAGCTGATGGCCATGGCTCCAGCGATCCGACTGCAAGCGATCGGTAGCGACAATCGATGAGGTGTGGCACCAACCCCAGCAGAGTCCTTCGGAGTCTCGATCTGAGGCGCTCCCGGAAGCAAGGGCGCCAATTCTGAGTGAGGACCGCAACCCCGCTCAATTCGACACGCATGCCTACTGGGACGCCGACTGTGCTGCTCGCAACACAAGTGCCAGGAATGTCAATGATGTGTGTGTGTGTGTGATAGCTCTCGAACAATTTGCTCCCTTCGCCCAAATGCTGCTGCAAATGCAAGTTGCTGATAGGAATGTCGAGCGCATGCAAGGCCAATCATGGGGAGTCATGCTGATTGCCAACCCTCCCCCCCCAAGTAGCAGGCAAGTGTACCGCTACCTGCTAGCACAAAGATGGCAGCTATGTTGATATGCATATACATATACACAGATGTGTATGCAAATAAATATACCCAAAAATGCAATCAGCGACCAGGCAGAGACTGTGTGTGTGCTTCCTTTCCTGGTGCTTGTGGGAGATGCTTGAAGTGATATATCAAAGGTCTGGCAGCAAGAACGCGCTCCCTCTCGGGTTCCATCTCGGGAAAGCCCGAGGGCCGACATGGTGTTCACAAACACAGGGTGCCATGTCAGTTTGTTCCAAACAATTCCCAAGACAGCACGGTTTCCCAATGGAAAACGCTAAACGGAAAGATGCGCTGCCAGACCTCTGAATAAAGCTGAGATTGCATGCAATGGTTGCATGCAATGCTTGCATGCAATGAATTAGGTCTTGATCGACGGAGGGCTGCCTCATGCAAGCCCGGTTGCATGCAATTAATTGGTGTCTATTCGACAGAGGGCAGCCTCGTGCAAGCCCTTGAGGTTCAAAATCGTAAAACTGCGTGGAATGCAACTGCCCCTCACTTTGATGTTGGTACAGTGTCCGCATACTCAGCATACTGTGCTTCCACATATCCGAGGCCTCCTTGCCAGTTGCCCTTGACAAACTTTCGAAAGCCGGACCAGCCGGAAAAGCGGAACAGTGGCACCACCTCTTCCAGCGTCTTTCCCTTGGTCTCTGGAATGCAGGTGGCTGCAAAGGGGATGACCATCAGGCAGACGCATCCAAAGAATAGGAGGGTGCCCCCGGGGCCCATGGGTGAGGCGATCATCTGTGGAGTCAAGAACGCGCTGAGGACATTGGCAGGACCCCAGTTCATCGCTGTGCACAGCCCAACTGCCTTTCCACGGACACGCAGCGGCATAATTTCTGATATGTAGAGCCATGCACCGAAGCCCCAAGAAATTCCAAAGGCGAACATGTAGAAAACAATGGTCGCAATAATCACATATCCTGCGACGGCATCTATGGAACCACTTTCAGGATCATGAGCAGCCAAAGCCGTGATTCCGCCCACCATCATCGAAACGCACATGGCAGCCATGCCCCAGAGAAGCAGGACTCGTCGCCCAGCACGATCCACCAGCAAGAAGCTGCCAACTGCATTGCCCAGCGTGAAAGAGACAAAGGGTATCAGAGATGGGACAATGCCGGCAACGCCCAATGCCTGGAACAGCGTTCCACTGAAGCTGACCATTGCATTGATGCCAGTCATGATCTGGAAGAATTGTGTCAAGCATCCGATCACCACCGCATTTCGGAAATATGGAGTTGTGAAGACTTCGGCCCACGTGGCTTCACCGGTTTGCTGCTCCTCGATCAGCTCTGCCTGCACCTCCTTGAGTTCTTGGGATGCCACAGCCTCATCCCCGGAGCGCAAACGCGTCAGAATTTGAAGCGCCTCGGCAGAGCGTCCCTTGCTTTCCAGAAAGCGAGGTGTCTCGCAAACAAAGTACAGGCCACCACAAACCAAGCAGCCCATGGCTACTTGCAGGCCGAGGGAGAGCCTCCATCCAACCTCGAGATCATGAACAAAGTAGTTCAGGAGAGCTGCTGCCACGATGGCTAAACAAACATTGTTCTGGTAGATTCCCACAAGCATGCCGCGAATCTTCTCTGGTGCCACCTCTGCGATGAAAGCTGGGCCAGCCGAAGAGGTGATTCCAACGCCCACACCAGCCACAACTCGGCCAAGAATCAACATGGCGGTGTTCATCGCTGCTGCTTGCAAAGCCCCGCCTGCTGCAAAGAGCAGGGAGCCCACGAGCAAGGCAGGCCAGCGGCCATGTCTGTCCACCAAAAGGTGGCCCGCTAGAACTGCCGAAATTGCAGCTCCCAGGTTGAAACCGTTCACCGTGAAGCCTTCCCATAACGCGACAGTAGCATTGTCTTCCTCGGGCCATCCCATCATGCTGCGAAAGCTTGGCATGGTGAATACATCGTTCACCACCCCATTGTCATAGCCATGAAAGAATCCAGT